CGATGCGGGACTGAATCCCAGGACCCTGGGATCATGACCTGAGCTGAAGGCAGATGCTTAATAACTGAGCCACCCAGGTGCCCTATCGTAGTCACTTTTGTCTGATGTTGCCTAAGACACATGGAATGTATTTGACCCAAGCCTCTATCAGTACAACTAGAGTATCTGATGACCTATGTGGCAGTTCGTTCCTGAGAATCTTTATGTGTAAACATTTGGGAGGTCTTGTAGGGGAATGACTTCACCATGGTGTCCTGGCAAGTTTGCACATATATAGGCTGTGCAGGCAAAAGCTTGAACAACAGCTACTCTGAGTCATGGCAGATCACCTTGTGATCCTTCTAGAACATGAGAGGATGAGAGGAGCTTTACAGGCCTTCAAGCCCATCTCCCACTCCCTTCCCTATTTCTTGTGGGAGGCGGTCATGAGACAGTTTCTCATTGCCTCTCAGATTCTGAAGAGGTATGAGGCTTTCTGGATATAACTGCAGACTGTAACACTGCTTAGCTACAGTCTAAAATCGGCTCCTCACCAAGGACGTTGCAGTCCTTGAGTCCCCTTTTGTTTTGGTGTTATTGTTTTTGGTGTGTGGGACAAGGATCTGGGGACTGGCATGTTTGGATACTCTTACTTTTGCTGTTTACATAAGTAATACATTGTATGAATCTAAAAATGAATTGTTTTATCTTTACTAGTCAAGTCAGTTAGGACATGGCCTTGACCTTGCCTGCTGCTGTGTGTTTAATAGGAAGAAGAATGGAAAGAGTAAAAATATATGAGTGAATATGGGTAAAAATAGATTATCTCTTTCCTCTTTAGTTTTGAACCAAAACACTGGTCAGAACCATAAGAGACCTTCCTTCTGGTGGACCATGACTTAATAATCAGGCATCTGAGGGCTCCTTATTCTGAGCTAAAACTCCCATAATTATTTTGCACTGAGTGCAGTTTTCTCCATCCTGTCCCTAAGATCATGGGAGTATTTATTTATTTATTTAAAGATTTTATTTATTTATTTGATAGAGAGATAGGCAGAGCTGTAGGCAGAGGGAGAAGGAAAAGCAGGCTCTCCGCTGAGCAGGAAGCCCGATGCAGGGCTCGATCCCAGGACCCCGAGATCATGACCTGAGCCCAAGGCAGCTGCTTAACCGACTGAGCCACCCAGGCGCCCCATGGGAGCATTTATTTATTTATTTATTTATTT